CCAGAGCTGGATTTGAACCCACCACCTCCAGCATATGGGGCTGGCACCCTACTCCTTTGAGCCACAAGCCCAGCCCTGAAGGCCCCATTTCTTGAGTCTCCAGTCAAAGGATACCTACTCTTTTCCCTCTTCTGCTCCACTGTCGTTGCAATTTTATTTGCATTATTGAAAATACCTAACATTAGTTCATCTCATTCTTAGATACAATTTTAAAATAAAACTAATTTTAAACTTTTGCTCTCTGTGGGTCAGTAGTAAGACTTAAATACTATCTCGGGCACAGAGTAATTCTGTTCTTTTTTTTTTTTTTTTTTTTTTAGCAAATACTCATTTGTGAGAACTGCCACACAGTCAGGCGGTGAATGACTATTTTTCAGAAGACAGGTAGAGCATATTTGGTAGATTAATTCTCAATTCACCTTCTCAGTGGAAAAGGACAAAGCCTTCATTTACCAGGATTCTAAAGAGATTTCCAGGCAAGTCCCCAGCCAGCCCCACATCAGTCTTTGCTTTGAAGCATTCTTCCCCAGAGCTTGGTTTTCTCTAGGAGGTCCCAAACCTTTTATTGAGCTGTGGAGGGCTGGAGGGAACAGTCCCCTCCTCCGCTGACTTTCACACGTCTGGTGGCGCTGGGGAGAGGGATGGCGCGTGTGCTCATCGTCGGGGAATCAATCTCTCTGCCTATCATCCCCTTTTTCTTCAGAATAAAGCGAGTTAGTGCAATTACCTTATCCAGAACAGTTACCTCGTCTTAAACTGTTTATTCTCCAGAGAGAGGTGTATGGGAGGGAGCAGGGAGCACTTTGGCAAGAGATGGATTTTTTTTTAAAAAAAATCCACTCTACTGAGCATGAGCAGTTGGGAACTGTCGGGATGCCTGTCTTTCAACCTGAGGCTTCCTTTTCTACTGGGTTAGCACTAGGCAAAGAGGACACCTATTCTGATGAAGTGAGTTCTGGTGCCATTTAGAGAATTTGGGGGTGGCCTGCCTCAGAGGGCCGACTCTGTGGACGTGTTCTTTGCTCTGAAAATGAGTGACCTAGGAAAATCTCTCTAAAGCAGAGAGAAGAGGCAACAGACAGGCACTTTTCAAAAGCCCTTAAATGAAGATTTCAGAATCTATTAAAAACAAAACACAGTGGGACCCTGTCTCAAAAACAAAACAACAACAACAACAACAACAAAAAAGCCACAGTATTTTAAGAGACCCTGTTTCAAAACAAAAAAATACAAGCAACAGTAACAACAAGATGAAAAGTTGAAAGGTTTGGTGATTCTGGAGTCATTAGGACAACAGAAAAGGGAATTAGAAAAGAAAAGTCAAAATAAAACTTGATCATACATACTCCTTAATGCATACGTAATTGTAACCACCTCTTTATTTACATGCACGCATTGTTAGCACAGTTGGAATTATGGATTTATTCCATTGTTATTTTTCCCCATTCTGTGTTTAAGTCTTTCTTTTTCTTAGGATTTTTCAGGAGCGATAATCTGATGTTAAAAAGTGGAAGCAGGAGAGGCAGGGCTTTGAAAGTTGATGAACATTATAGAGGTCTCTAGAAGCAGCTGAGGCGAGTTAAAGCCAACCCCGACGCACACATTCTTCCGAGAGGCCCGCCGGCTCCGCCCGGCGTCAGGAGGCGCCACTTGTGCTCCGCCGCGGGCTCCCGGCCCTCAGCCGTCCTCCACCTGCGGAGGCTCCGGGTCGGCCCTGGAGCACCCCCGGGGCACGTGGAGCCGCCGCGCTCACCTGCGCCCCTAGCCCCGAGGGCGCCGCCACCGCCCCTCCCGCCGCCCCGCCCCGGCGCGGCTCATTGGCTGCCGCGCCGAGGGGCGGGGCAGAGGCGGCCGCGGGGGCCTCATTAGCTATGCGGACTCGCTCCTCAGCTCTGTAGTCCGAGGCCCGGCGGAGGCGCCAGGGCTGAGCTCGGCGCGGCAGGGACCGCGGGAGACTCCAGCGGCAGCGGTCGCGGCGCTGAGGGAGGCTATGAGGACGCGCGCTTTCTCTAGGTGCCCCTGCTGCGGCGGCGGCTCGGAGCGCCCTGCCTCGCTGCTTTAGGGAGCGGCCGTGGAGCGGAATCACTCTCTGAAGACCCCCGGGACTCACTTGTCTCGGGCCCTGCGTCGCCGTGCCGCTCCTAGGCTCCCGGAGCGTGGAAGAGGAGCTGTCCTCCGGCGCCGGGCGAGGAGCATGGGGACAGCGGCGGCTGCAGGAGGCGGCGGCGGCGGAGGGACGCGCCGGTGGCTCCAATGGCTGGGGCTGTGCTTCTGGGCGGCGGGGGCTGCGGCTGCCCGAGGTAAGTGCTGGGCAAAGCGGGCGGCTGGGGGCACCGGCGAGGGGGCGTCAGTCAGACGGAGCAGGACCCGCACCGTGGCGTTGCCTTCCCAAGTTGTTCCCTGCCCCTCTCCGCTCGCCGAGCCCAACAGAGTGGAGGACTCCACGGGGATCACTGCCTTCTAAGCTAAGTTTGCAATCTGCCGCAATCCTACAGGTTGCTGTGACCCAGGCCCCTACCTACCCTTAAGTCCCATCAACCTGCTCCATTTCCCAAGCCCTCCCCAATTGCTGCAGATTGGAATAGCCCGGTCTTCAATCTCCTCCTCCTCTGTCCTTTCCGCTACCTTTTTAAGGCGAGACCAGTCACGGGTGGGCGCCCTTAGCGGTGTTCGAGAGTTTCTGGGGAGAGGGGCCGGGTGATGGGAGTGTCTGTTAGGGTGGCCTTGAGCCGAGAGGGCGCCTTTTCCTTTCGGAGAGTAGTAACACCCAAGCTGAAGCCCTCTTGCTCTGCGCCAAGCTTGGCACCCCTCGGGCGACCCTGCCCGGGGTCCTAGCCAGCCCCGGGCTCTTTCTGCCGGAGGCCACGGGGGGCTCCGGAGAACGGCGTGCGCCGCGCGGGTTTCACTGCACCTGCAGTGCCGAGCCCGGGCGAGCACTTGGCCGGAGGCTGCTCGCCAGGCGCCTCCTCTCCCTGGCCTGTCGCTTTCTACAGTTGGGAAGCCGCGGCCCCGCCGAGCAGTAGGGAAACCTCTGATTCTTCCGGACTTAGAAGCTTAGAACCCCATTTTCCTGGATCCTCCGGATTCCAGCGGAGTGAAATTTTGCAGCTGGTTTCAGCTCCACCTTGAGCGAGGACAGGAAGCATCAACTTAAAGATAAATCCCAAGGACTAGTTTTGAAGATGATCAGAGTCAAATCCAGACATAGCTCGAGTACCTTTGGAAAACATCTGGAAGCTTCCCCTTTCTGCCCTTCTTTTATCTTTTTCCTTCCCTGTGTGCGGTCCATTAGGCTCAGAATATGTAACTGCATTAGATGATTTACCGAACGCTTGTGTGGCGGGAGGTGTAACCGAGCTGCCCAGCTCGCCACCTTCTGCTCTGCTCGCTCTCCTGAACGTATTCAGACTAGCCGGGAGACAGAAAGGGTGGAAAAGGTTGAGGACGACCACAAAAGAACTAATATCTCATTTTTAAGAAGAGCTTACAGTGTGTTAAAAGCAGTCATACTGCCTGCAAAGAAACATTAAAATAAAAAGGTGGTTGGAGGCGTTCTGTTTTATGATCTTGTTCTGTGCCTATTTGCATCTCATTTCCTGAGGGTTTTTTTTTTTTTTTTGTCTTTTTCTTTTAATGGGTCAAGCTTTTTAAGAAAGGAAAGGTTTAAAAATGAACCTCTGCACCCACCGTGGGGCTGTGGTGAAGCGTAGTTCCTTTCTTGTGCTGGAAGAAGCACAAGCTTCAGCCATTTAATTCACTACTGCGAATGCCTCGTTGCGAAGTCAGCTCTGAGTTGTTTTTAGTACACTCTTGGGGGGAAAGTGAGCCTTTTGTTTTCCAGATGTTGGTCTGAATGTCTGAGCATCCGGTTCCTCTTTGGTGAGGAATGTCTTACCCGGGTTGACTCCAGGTACTGACCCTTGGAATTTGGTTGGTGAAGTTGTCTCAAAGGCAGCTCCACAAAAGAGGTGGGATGACATGCCAGAGCCTTTCCAATGGAGTTTTGCTGGCTGTGAAACTAAGGCTAGCACCTCTTGTCTGCAAGCTGTTCTTTAAAGGTCTTCTGGAAAACATGCTGTACACTCTGCAGGCTTATTTACAGCAAATGTCTTGCACAGATCATAGTAGTATGCAAGACACACAGAGTGGAGCAGGAAATCTGACTGATACTTCCCTTGTCATACTTCACTTTCTGGGGCGCGAAGCCCATTCTTAGCGTCTGTCAGATTCCTCCAGAAATGAGCACTAACTAGGCAATGAAGCCCGTGAAGCCACGTACACCTGGCTTTGGACAGGTGGCCCCAATTAGTGTTCAGAACTGAGGGTGTGTTTCAGTGTTTACTTAAATTCTCTCATCCCAGACAGGTGCTCATTCATTAAAATCCAGCCCCTGTGGCTTGCTTGCCTGAGTCTTACTTGCAGATACCATGGTGTGCTGGGTTGGTCTTAATTATCCAAGTAATAGTTTTTGTTCTGCAAGAATTTTTTCGATATCAAAATAGTCTACCTTCTCTAACCAATAGGAGACATAAAATTATGCTGGTTGCTTTGTTATGAGGATATTTAACATTTCAGTAGTATTTCCATTATATTTATCATTAATCTGTTTTTAAAATGATTACACCATTTTTTTTCTTTCTTTTCTTTCCTTCTGTACGTACATAAAGCCCTCTCAAAATCCGAGAGCGATTTCATATCGGCCTTGAATATACTTATGGGAAGGTCCCTGGGGCAAGGGATGGCTTGCAGAAACCAGTAGTGACTCAAGGAGCAGTGTTCAGTTTTTGAAAGCAGGACTTAGTTCTTTTCAGATTTGTTTTGGGCTGTCAGAGTACAGCGAGGAAGGCGCTCTGGGCCATGATTACTGTATGTTTTAACACTTTCCGAGTTAAAAGAAGGTTGTTCAAAAGTTATTCATGACCTGCCAAGTGCTAATTGAATCCACATCATGTTGTCATACTGATTTGTTTTTGTTCTTTGGAAAAAGAGTACTCATCTTGATTTGGTTGTGATTCCCGCATTTAGATACTGTACATCAGAGATTCTAGTCATTAAAGGCAGAAAGGAAGATAATCTAGGCTGAGCTTTCAGACAATTCCTGGCTTTAAAAAATTTCCTGGACAATGAAATCTTACAATAACTGGAGTAATGCATTCATGGCTAGAGAAGTACACATTTATTATATAGGCATAATAGTCATATGATTTACATGTCCTTAAATCCGTTTATATGTCTGGTTCATGTAGTTCTGAATCTATTATCATTTCCTCCTAAATGAATGTTCTGAGGCCACCCTCTCGTCTCGTTTTCTCATTCTGTCCCTTTTCCTCAAGTCTGTTCCTTGGCAGGACTTTAACAATCTTTATCCTAACTCCCTGCTGGACTTCTTTTTTTTGGATTCTTGGATTGTGCGCTTAGATCGATTACCCTGGTGGCATTTCCTATCCAAAAAGTGTTCTGCTCAAGAGATCTCGTAAACAAACTGGTTTGTAAGAAGAGTTGGTTGCTCTTAGAATGGCCCGTTTGTGGGTCTGAGGTTCAAATTCTACCCCATGGGGTGGGAAAACTTTTGGAGCCTTCTGGAACCTCCCTCGCGTATTCCAGGACTGGCTCAGTGAATTGTTGGGGTTCTAGGCCGTGCTTTCTTGTTAGGGAAGCATTTTTCCGTTTACAGTTTCAGTGACTGGTAAGCTTTTATTGTCCTCTTCCTGCCAAATATAGTAGCCAACTTATAAATGTTGCTGATGCTAAAGGTTTATCAAGGAATTGTTTTTTTAGGAGTTAGTATTTGATACCCTGCCCTTGTTTATTTATTTATTTATTTTAAATATCAAAGTTACAGATCCAGGCCACATGCATTAAAATCTAATTTCGAAGACAGGTGTGTGAGGACAGATTTATTCGATACTGTCTTAAGGAAGGTGGTGGTGATGCTGGTATGGGTGCCCTCTTAGTGTTCAGGTACATGTATGTGTTCACAGGGGGACTAGAGGCGCCCGTCTTCTTGATACACCTTCGCCATTAGCCATTAATTCCGGTTGTCCCTCACTGTAGGAAGTGGTGCTTATGCAGGAATGTCGAGGTCGTCTCTTCCCTCTTCCTTCTGATGCCCCCGTGAACTCACAGCACAGTGGAATAACCAGTGGGAATGTTTCCTCTTTTATTCTGAGCCATTCAATATATGTGGATATGTGCCTTGCCCTTCATTTCTAAAGGGACATTGTTGTGGGCTTGTGCCATCATGTTAGCTCTCTTTTTATATTGTGCCTAGTCCTTAAAAGATATTTCTGTAGCTGCATTCAAACACGAAATCATTATATTTAATGCGTGCTGTTCATTATTCTAAATGCCTTACACACATGAACTCATCGAATTCTTAAAATAACTCTATTAGGTAAGTACTGTTAATCTCATTTGTAAGATAGGAAAAGAGGGGCAGGGGTTAAAAATTTGCTCAAGGCCATGGTGTTAAATATGGTGGGGCCTGGATTTGAACCTACTTCCTCTGACTTCAGAGCGCACAGGACAATTTTCCAAACTACACCGAAAACAAAATGACTCTTGTGTTTTTGGTGACAAAAGTACTAACATGGTATCTTTATTACTCTCGAGTTGTAGAGGAATTTGGAGTGGCTTAAATAAACCTGTAAATACATTCAGATAAATCTAGGAGATTTATGTTGTATGAAAATAACCACCCTCTCAACATTCAGCTTGATATACTTTGGGATTGGATTCACACTTAAAATTCTGAATACCAGTTTCCAATATGATAGCTTGCTTTTTTTTTTTTTTCCCCTTTTCAATTTTAAATTTCAACAGAAAATATTACTCTGATTGAATACACCATCCTTGGAATGGCAAATCCGAAGAGACTATTTGTTGCATGTCTTGTATTTTTAGCCTTGTTTGCCAGGGAAATGTGGAGCATGAGATTTGAGAATAGATTGTTAACACCAGAGGCTGCTGTTTCTGCTGTTTCGGGTACTCCTGCTGCTGCTCTGGTGAGGCAGATGGCTAGATTCATTTATAGAAAATAGATATTCGTTCCATTTTGCATTTCCACTTCGCAAAGAACTTTTAATTGTTTGCGCCACGTTGCATCGTATGGCCTTATTGTGTGCATACACATGCTGTGCGTAGATGATTTTCAGAATTAAGCGGATGTTAACGTGTTCACGTTGGACTGTGGCATCTGAAATCTACTGCAAACTCTGTTGTGCTTTTGGAATTTTCTTCTGAAAGTGTGGACGTGTGCAGTATGGTGGGTACCGAGTATTCCGTGCTCAGATTCCTGCCA